ATGTATAAATTAATATTTTAATTATTATTTTGTAGGTTAATATTTTCTCTTGTGGATCCTCATTACATAATAAATTTCATTTTTTACTATTTTGTTATAATTGTACGGTTAAATATTTATTTTTTTGTTAAATAAAAATTCAATAATTTGTTTATGATAAATTTTGTTGAAGAATTAATTTCACATGTTTTGATATATATATATATATATATAGCACAGTGATTGGTACATACTCCGATTCAACATACTATACAACACACTCATTAATTAAAGATAAACAAGCTTACAGATATAATCATATACACATGATGTAAGGATTGACTAAATTGATTATATTTATATTATATTTTTAATAGTTGAACTGAAAGTGTGTCAAAAAATGTGTTGAATTGAGGGTGTATAGATCATTTTCCATATATATATATATATTAGCTTAGTTAGTGAACTATAAAATATTTGAAATATATTATAATTATTCTGAGACTAATCATGTTATTATTTTTGTTTTATTAATTTAATAAGATTATGCATGGTCATAGTTGGTTGTATAGATGTCAAACTCCTCAAGGGGAAATATATGAGGAGTTCTATAATAGAGTTCAACATTTCCTTCAATTTGTATATGGTAGCCGTGGTCTTGAACCGAATGATTCAATTAGATGTCCTTGTAGTAAATACTTTAATTTACCATTGATGACTTAGGAAATGGTATGGGATCATCTTATTAAAAATGGTTTTATGAATACTTATTCTGTTTGGCAGGCGCATGATGAGACATTTATGAATTCAATAGATCCACGGTCTGTTGCTAATTTGGGTGAATCATTACATAGCTAAGATACACACCATGATGAAAGGAATGGCTTCCATGAAATGGTGTATGATGCATTTTGTCCAAAGGATGATGATTATCGAGAAATGGAATGTAATTTCCCAATCAATATCTGGAAGGGGAACTAAACAATCAAGCAAAGGCATTTTATGACTTGCTTCATGCATCTACAATATCGTTTGGTAATTCTAATAGAAATGAGACAATGCTTAGCTAGCTCTCTTATATGTTACACATTAAGATTGCAAATAATATAACTGGTGGTAGTTTTAATGCCATCATCAAAGGATGTAAGAAGTTGTTAAGTGTTGAAGATTAGGAAAAAGTTCTTGCAAACTTTTATGAAGTAAAAAAATTTATGAAAGGGCTTGGGTTAGCTTATTTAGAAATTGATGCTTGTGTTAATAATTGCTTTTTATACTATGAGGAGTATACAAAGACGTTGATCACATGTCCAATTTGTGGAGAAGCAACGTATAAACAGAGAAATCTAGGGAGGAAAAGACAAAAGGATATTTAGAGGAATTCTCTTTGATACTTGCCAATAATACCTCACCTTTAGAGGTTATATATGTCTCAAAAAACAACTGAGCATATGGCATGGCATTTAAAATGTTGTGGTGATACAGATGAGGTCATTCATCCAGCATAGTTAGAAGCTTAGAGACATTTTGATCGAATGCATCGTTCATTTAAAAGAGAACCTCATAATGTTTGATTAAGTCTTTCCACTAATGGTTTCAACCCCTAGGTTCATTCTTCAACCCCCTATTCTTGATGGCTAGTTTTTTCTGACTACTTATAACTTGTTATCAAAGATGTGCATGCGGTTGGAGTTTACATTTTTTACATTAGTCATTGCAGGTCTAGAAAGCCTAGGTAGAAATATTGATGTATTCCTTCAACCTTTAATTTAATACTTGAAAATGTTATGGTCAACTAGTGTGGAAACATACGATAGTTACCATAAGCAAACTTCATAATGCATGCTATATTGATGTGGACCGTAACTGATTTTCTAAGTTATGGTATAGTGTCTGGTTGGAGCACACATAGCCAATTGTCTTATCCTTGCTGTATGGAGATGACATAATCTTTCTATCCTCCACATGGTCGCAAACCATCTTTTTTGACTATCATCGTGGGTGTTTACCCCAATCACATCCCTTTAGATTTTATTAGACTAATTTTTTAAAGGGTTGGGTTGAATTTGGTAGTCCCCCTCCTTGATTTGATGGTGTTTCAATTCATCATCGAGCTGAAAACCTTCCTGATGTGTTGTTTGAGAAACCCTTTTAAAACTAAAAAATTGAGGGTTTTGGAAACACCCATAATTGGGTGAAAAAGTGCATTTTTGGGAACTTTCTTACTGGCAGGATAATCTTATTAGACATAATCTTGATGTAATGTATTGTGAGAAGAATTTCTTTGATAATATAATACACACTATTATGGATGACAATATGACAAAAGATAATGCAAAAACAAGATTGGATTTAGCCATTTATTGTGACTGAGAAATTTTGCACATGGGATATGATATATATGGTAAGCTCATGAAGCCTAATGCCATGTATACACTTACCACAAAAAAAAAAAAAAAAGAAGCTTCTATGTGTATGGTTGAAATAGTTACGCTTTCTAGATGGATATGCTTCTAACATATCAAGATGTGTCAACTTGAATGAGTCCAAGTTAATTGGAATGAAAAGTCATGATTTTCATGCAACGACTAATTCTAGTTGCTTTTCGCAGTTTATTGCCATTTGTTGTTTAGGGTCCTTTGATCAACATTAGTAACTTTTTTCGTTCACTTTGTTCCCTGGTCATTAAACCTAATGAGATGCGGGAGTGAGAGGTAAAGATTTTTGAAACAATTTGTAAGTTAGAAATAATATTCCTCCCAACATTCTTCAATTGTACGGAGCATCTTGAAATTCATCTTCCATATGAGGCCTGAGTTGGTGGTCCTATTCAATTTCATTGGATGTACCCATTTGAAAGGCAAAACATACAAAGAAATTGAAAATATTAAAACTAACTATTGATTAATTTTTTAAATTAATTTTATCAATAACCTCTTTCAGGTGCATGTGCAAACTTAAGAAGATCATAGGGAGTTAAAACCATGTAGAGGCATCGATTGTCAAGGCATCTATATTATATGAAATAACCCATTTTTGCTCTTGTTATTTTGGGGATGATATTGAGACAAGCTAGAATCAATCGCCAAGAAACTATAGCGGTGTTGGGAGCAACATCCCAAGTCAATTATTCGTGTTTTGTTGCCTTAGTCAATCAATAGGTGCACAATCACGTACATGATGTTTAACATTAGAGGATAAAGATATAGCTGAACAATATGTCTTGCTTAATTGTAAGGGTGTTGATGTTTGGTTAACATAAGTTTTACTCCTTCTTAGAACATAACAACTGATATGATTTCCTTAAAGTCTTAATTAATAAATAAATATTGTCTTTCAATAAAATTGATGATGAAGTTGGTGCAAATATGATCTCTGAACAACTACAAAGAGTTTTGTTTGATGGTTTAAAAACATGGTAACAAATTATTATATACTAATTTCTCAAAATTTTAATTAAATGTTAAATATTACTGAATTAAAAATGTTTAAATGTATAGGTGCTTAGTGGACAATATGAAATTAGCAAAAAATTTATCCATCTTGCAATTGGCCTGATCTTTTAAGTGAATGTTTATAATGGATTCTATGTTTATGGCTTCAGGTTTTTGACTGAAGAGTATACTAGTACTAGAAAAACATATAATTGTGGTATTTGTTTTAAGGAACCACCATTAATTCTGAAGTTGAAATTGATTATTATGGTGTCTTTGTCACGCCCCAAAACCAGGAGCGGAACAGACGCTGTGCACTTGTGAACAGGTCCCACAAATGCACAAGGCTCAGAACTTATTGTGTTCATAATTGCCAATTTACATATCTTAAATCTCAGAAACTCGGTTAATATTTAGCTTTCCATTTCCAAAAAATTTACTAGTCCAGATGTACAAAAATTTATAAAACAGTCATGGCCATAACCAAGGGAAACTCAGTACACAAAAAAAATGATTTATCATTTCATATCTATGACAAGCATGTGTGGCTAACGACCTAAGTCCAAAATATTGACTAGCCGTCTAGCTCATCACTCCCTCTGGTTAACCATGCCTTGGGTCTCACTTCCTTAAATGACGGACAAGGAAAATTGTGAGATAAGATATCTCATTAAGTAAAAATATGGGTAGCCCATGAGTAAAATTTAAGTATGACTGATAAACAATTTAACATAACAAAATGTTCAATGATAAACCGTTAATGCAGAATAAGATTCAGTAGTAGTTTCATTTATAAGTAATGACCAGTGTTTAACAACTCCCATTGGCACGCGTCAGTTTCAATAATAACCAATGTATTATCCCATTGGCAGGATTACATAATGAACTTGTCCTATTGGTAAACATGTTGACATGTGCTAGCGTTTCAAACTCCCACTAACAAACGTCAGTAATCAGTAATTATGACTATATTAGAGACAAAACCATGTAGGATTTACAAAAAAAATCCGTAATTCACAATCAATCTCAAATTTCAAGAATAAACCGAAAAAATTCCATGTGGGCATGGGTTAACAAGAAAATCATAATTTACAAAAATTTTCAAATCATCAGGGCAGTTAAGTAAACTCCAAGTAAGCATGCTCTACTCAATGAAAATGAAAATAATTCCATTTCAAACCAATCATGCTCGATGCTAATGAAATCAATTTAAACCTTGCCACCATCTCAAAAACAATTTAAAATATGCTTTTACTTTGAAATCAAAAGGCGTTACCATAATTTACTTACCTCAGTCGCATAACATAGAAAATTCACTCCAAATGCTAGGGTGATAGAACAATCAATAACTTAACCAAAATATTCCAAAATTAATAACCATATGACCGGACATCTCAATTTTATTCTCAATATAAACTAAACATTTAAACCTTCCTATTGTTGCTCGCCATTAATCCTATAAAGAAATCTTATTTATTTATTTATTTATTCTTATTTTTCTTCTATTCGAAATTGAGCACAAAAATCAGGTTGTGCATTTATATATATGTACATAACACACATATACAAAATTCTCCAATTCACAGACAACAACATGGAGGAACCGGCTTTGGCAATCAATGGCTAATTCACGGGATTTTTTTTTTCCCTAGAACCTCATAGCAGCTAATTAACACTCAATCACATAAATTCTACTTGAATTAATGCTTAAATTTGTTCTAATGCTATTGGAATTAGTCCCCTATTTCAGCAGAAAGTCGGACATCACAGGGGCAGCAATTAACTGGACTAAATTCAGCAACTAATGGGTAAATTAGGACTTAGATGGAGCTATCACATACCAGAAATTCAGCAAGCAAAATCGGAGCTGCAGGTTGGGGAATCCGGCGGGAAGTGCAGGAGAATTTAGGGGATCTACCGAAAATTGGAGAAACTAAAAGAAATTAGAGTAAACCCAAGCCAAATCAAGGGAGAATACAGGAATTGGTTGCTGTTTTCCTTACCAGGAACCGAAAAAATCACACCCACACAGCAGAGCAGTGGACGGAGAGGAAAGAAACAGAGCAGATCCGAAATTTTTCTGCAGAGGGGGAAGATTCCAACTTCTAAATCTTGTTCTTGAACAAGAAAAGAAAGGAAAATCAAGTTTTCTTACTGTTCCTCAAGGGTGGGTGTTGTTGGTGGCTTAGCCTTCTTGTTCGGTTGTAGGGGAGAAAAAGAAGAGCAGAACGCGCGGCTAAGGAAGAAGAAAGAAGGAAAAAAATTCAGCCCATCCTTATCTTAATTTTTTTCTCTTTTAAGTCCCTCAAATTTGAGAATTTGATGATTAAGCTCAACAATATTATTTTCTCACAATTAGGTCCTTAGCTCACACTTAATTGTTCTAGAAAATTTTGGGGTATTACAGTCTTGAAAGAAGTAATCGAGTTATTGTATTATGGACACTCATGTCAACCGGAGACTATAGTCTTGTTCAATTGTGACTGGTATCACACGAGGCGAGGAATACACTTGGATGTTGAGCACAGAATTGTTGATGTCAATCTAAGGTTAAAACTTTCAATAGGAGAACGATTTTGCCTTGCTAGTCAAGCACAACAAGTTTATTACACTCCATATCTAGTTATGGATAGAACTACTCAAGGATGGTTGGTAGCATGTAAAACAAAATCTAGACATCTAATTGACATCTTATCTACCTCATCTTTAGTAGAGATTGATGACATTTTTCAAGATGATGACCCCCCACAATGCAAGGCATTTTGTTGGCTATAGATTTTGTAATATCCCAAAATTTGATGATATTTTAGCATTAAGTAAGGGACTTATTTGAGGAAAAATGTTGTTTTGGGGCTTAATAGTCAAATTTCAAAAGTTGAGGAACTTAAAAGAAAGGAAATGAGATAAGGATCTTTTTCTTTTTTTCTTTCTTTCTTTCCTTCCTCATCAGACCCGCGTGTCCTGCTCTTCTTCTTCCTCCCGACCCCCTGCGACCCGACGAGCCCCAGCTACTGCCACCCATTTTCGGCCGGGAACACCGGTAAAACTTGGGGATTTCTCCTTCTTTTCTTGTTCTAGAACACCTATTAAATCCAGAATTTTCCAGATCTGCTCTCTTCCCTCTGCCGCGAGTTCCCTGTTGCTGGGTGGGTGAAATTTTCGGTTATTTTGGGTAAGCAACAACATGAAATTCATCTTTCAACTTTGATTTGGCTTGGGTTTAATTTGAATTGTGTTTTGGTTCTTGAATTTTGGTAGCCCCGTGACCGACCTTCCTCCTCTGCCGCCGGTTGCTGCTGGGGTGAATTTCGGTTTTCTTGGTAAAAATCAGCCATGAATTGTATCTTTTTAGCTTTAATTGGCTTGGGTTTACTCCAATTTCCCTTGGTTTCTCCAATTTTGGGTAGTTTCCGTGAGTTTCCCTGCAGATGCCGCCGGCTTCTTCTCCCTGCCAGCTCCGGTTTGCTTGCTGGAATTCTGGTAAGTGGCAGCCCCATTAAGTCCGAAATTACCCATTTAATTGTTGGGTTTTGTCCATTAAGTGTTGCCCTGTGCTTGCCCGAATTTTGCTAAAATGGGGGAGGAATTCCGGTAGCATTTAGCAGCATTTTAAATGTGTTTTTGTGCTTGGTTTATGTAGGAATTTTGTTAATGAGGCTGTTGTGATGTTGTGTGAAAATCCCGTGTGTGTGAGTTGTGGTTTGCCAAAGCCATGCTCTCCATGTACTGCCCGTGAGAAATGGGGAAATTTTGGTAGTTTAAGCTATGTTTTTAAGCTTAGTTTAAGCGTAAATTAGCTTGAATTGAGTTGTTGTGATTTTGGAGAAAAATCCCGTGAGATTAGTTATTGTTTTGCCAATTTTGGAAGTTGAAGTTACTATTCACGGGCACTGTTCACGCACTGATGGCTAACAATTAACGGGGATTTAAATGTTTAGTTTGTAATATACGAATAAATTTGGGGATGTCCGGTCATGTGGAGATTGATAGAAATAGCACTGTGATTAGGGGTAGTGCTAATGATGATTTCACTTTGAATTTGTGGTAGTGCGGTATTAACTTTGGAATATTGTGATTAGATTTTGATTGTTCTGTCACCGTAGCACTTGGGTTAAGCCTTCTATTCTGTGCGAGTAAGGTAAGTAAATTATGGTAAAGCCCTTCGATTTTAAAGCATATTTTAAATTGTTTTTGAGATAGTGACAAGGTTTAAATTGATTTTAAATTGATTTTATCAGCATTTGAGTGTGATTAAACTGAGATGAAAATTGTGATAATTTTTTTGAAAATTATTATTTTCTGGAATTGAGCATGATTGGAATGAAAATGAGAATTTCATTGTTTTTCTGGAGTTGAGCATGCCCACATGAAATTGTTTTCATTTGCATTGAGTAGAGCATGCCTATTTGCAATTGATTGAACTGTTTTGATGAACCAAGAATTTTGTAAATTTTGAGTTTTCTGTTAAATCCATGCTCACATGAAAATTTTCTGGGTTATTCTGAAATTTGAGATTGATTGTGAATTACGGATTTTCTGTAAATTCTGCATGGTTTTGTCTCTGATATAGTCATGATTACTGACGCCCGCTAGTGGGAGCTGCAAACGCTAGCACATGTCGACATGTATTTCTGTAGAACCGGTTCATCCTACCGATGGGATAATACATTGGTAATTACTGACGCCTGCCAGTGGGAGTTTGTTAAACACTGGTACCATTACTGACGCCTGCCAGTGGGAGTTTGTTAAACACTGGTACTTCTGTAACCCTGCTAATGGGGTTAAACATTGGTTATTACTGACGCCTGCCAGTGGGAGTTTGTTAAACACTGGTACCATTACTGACGCTTGCCAGTGGGAGTTTGTTAAACACTAGCCATGACTTATAGATGAGACTACTGATGAGTTTTATTATGCATGAATGGTTTATCATTGAAAGTTCTGTTATGCTTACATGGTTTATCTAGTATGCTTAAATTTTTACCAAGGGCTATCCATAGTTTTACTTATTGAGTTATCTCATAATTTTCCTTGTCCACCATTTCAGGAAGTGAAACCGAGGACGAGGAAACCAAGGGGAGTGACGAGGTAGAAGGCTAGCCATTTTAATTGGATATAAGTTTTAGATTTTATCATCTTTTTTTAAGGTAGATTTTATTCTTGAGATTTTGTGATTTGGAATAAGTTCCAAGCCTTGTGCACTTGCGGGACCTGTCTCATGAGTGCACGGCGTCTGTCGCGTTCCCGGATTTGGGTTCTGAGGTGTGACAGATTTAACTATATATCAATCACTTCAACTACATATAGAAGGTGTTATAAAGGTTGAGATTGATGCTGATACATCAGACGAAGAAGAGGGCAATGGAGAAGAAAAAGATTTAGAAACCTCAAGAAATAGTGATAGTATTGAGGAGGATGATGATAGTGATGATTGATTGAAACATTTATTATTAATGAAATATATATATGATTACTTATTAAATATATGTATTAAAATTTCTTTGTTTTATATGTATTGTTTTATCAAGTTGTATATTTTTCATTTAAAATAGCATCATTACATGATTATTCTAAATTTATTATTCATTATTTTTATACATGTAGTAACAACTATTTTGTTATTCCTTTTTCAAGATGTTAGGTAATCCTACAAGTTCAACTAGGAGAAGATCCTTGTCCTCTAGTTCTGAGGACCGACATAATCATGATTAGCTATAGGTGTTCATTGATGGTGGAGTAGCTCTTGATGTAAAGCAAATGATACATGATCCATTGATAGAGGATGTGGATCATTTTACATCTGATCATGATGGTGAGGGCCCTTCATCCTCGAAGGGCAAAAAAGGACGTGGAAGTATTTGAAGTGCCTATAACCTCCGAGAATAGAGAGGCAAGGAAATGGATTATGTTGACTTATGATAAGCTGTAGTTTGTTGATCCCACCATACCTCAAGTTATCACTGCCTTATGGAAGTCATGTTTTGATGGCCCTTATTTAACATTTGAGCATCTCTCGTGCAACAAGATCAATGAAATTTACAATTATTTTAAAGTAAGATTTAATTTTAGCAAATCTAATAAAATTAATGGATTTAGTAATTTATAATAAAAATAAATTATTTAATTATTAAACTAGAATTTATATTTTTCACAAATCTAATAGTGTTCTTTTTTTATCTTGTTGACACTTTACCAGTGGCTTCTGACAGATTGTGTCCATGTATATGGCGCATTCTTAAATTCTATGAAACATAAATGGAGTGACAATATTAGAGACAAGAGGTTGAAGTGGGAGTAGGATGCAACTTATTTCCCATGTTGGATCCCAATGCATATATGGTCTCAGATGCATGAATATTGGAACTCTAATGAACTTAAGGTGGTTCATGAAAGGGGAGCAAAGAATAGGAGGTTTGGGGAGACTTACATCAGTAGGTTTATTAGCTTTGGCATCCACAAGATGCAAATGGTAATCAAGCATAATTAATTAAAAAAATAAATATATTAGATTTTATTTAATAATAAATTATAAGTCAATTTGTACTAACCAATATATTACATTATAGATATTTTGAAATATAGGTTGAATTTAGAGGTAGTGTGCAACCTCCCCTTTAGGAGAAGTTCAAAGAAACACACACCTTCAGAAAACAGATGGCAAAAGACTAGGAGTTGGCATGGATAAATAAGCAAAGCACTGACATGTAAGTATATATAATATATAAATTATCATAAAATTTATAGCTATAAGTGTTGGGAAATTTTATTTAATTAATCTAAAATTAATTAGCAATGTCTATTGTTTTTTAATATATTCTTTTCAAATTGCTTTTAATAACATTGTTATTGTTATTACTATTATTATTTTCAAATTGCCTTTGCTTCACCCCTTGTGCTCCATTAAAAATAAATAAATATTTTATTTGCTAACCAAAAAAAAAAAAAACTATTATTATTTTGGGTTTTAAAGATACTTATGTCACAAAGTGCACAGAGACTGATGGCCTTGATTCCAATTTGTAGTCACACACAGATCATGAGGCATAAGGTAAGGTTGTTAGAGGTTGGTTGTCTAGTTTCATGCTAAGGATTGGCTCTTGTTGGATTTACTTCTAAGAAGAGACAACCCCGAGACAACTTGATGGCAACGATGATGATGTTTGACTTTGTCGAGAAGCAAGCTTGCCAAAATGAGCTTGTGGCAAAACAAAATAAAGAGCTGGAAAGGCAACGCTAGCATATGCCTCTGATGCAACAACAACTAGCCCATATGACACAAGCCCAGAATAACATGAGTCAAACAATTGCACAGTCTGTTAGGCAGCTCTTACTATTAATGGCATCTGCCCCTAGGTAGGTCATCATCCTTTTGCCCCACCACAACCATCACATAGTCAAGGCTCAAGTCTTTGCCTAAATACAACTTTTGCCTACTCCACTAATTCCACCTAGACCTTTCCTATACTACTCGAATATCATCAGTAGCTTTTGCCTCAAGATGATGTATACCATCCTGTTTTGATCTAAACTATCAGGCTCCTTAGTTTTGTTTTCTACTACATTATCTGCACACTTTGCATGGTTGCCTTTATTTTTATTAATACTTTTAACTGTTAGCTTTAACTTTTCATTGGGATATCTTTTCATATTTTGCTTGACCTCTAGTAATACTTCAAAAAGCATGAACTTTTGGACTATTTTGGGGGTTAATTATTATGAATTGAATATCATAGGCATTTAGGACAATGGTATGTGGTTGATATACTTTATGGTTGTGGTTGTAGCTAAAAACATATAATTGCTTTTAGTATGGCCAAGTTGTAGAATATGTGTTTTCATTGCAAATGCAAGTTTAAAAAAATTGGCTTTGATTAGATATATGGGGAAATTCTACCAACTTTTTTTTTTTAGAATTTTTGTCCACTAAAATGATCAAAATGGAAGAAACCTATTGAATAAATTCAAAGTTAAATATCATAGGGATTTAGGACAATGATATGTGGTGGTGGCTGTGGTTGAAAAGGTATAACTACTTTTAGTCTAGTGAAGTTGTAGAATATATGTTTTTCATACCAACAACCTGTTGGTTTGAATGGAAAGAGTTCGGTTACCCTTAAGTAAGATTTTGAGTTCGAGTATTGTGAATAGAGAAACAGGTGCTAAGAGAGCTTTCCCCTTATGAGGTCTAATACGGCTCTATTCCAGATTAGTCGAGACCCAATGTGATTACTGGATACCAAGAAATTAATACTAAAAAAATATATATGTTTTTCATTGTCAATGTAAGTTTCAAAAAATTAGTTTTTATCATATATATGAGGAAATTTTGTCAAATTTATTTTATAATTTATATCTACTAAAATGACTAAAATGCAAGAAATCTATTGGATAAATTTGGAAATTGACATGAAAAAGGAATGAAATCTAAGGAAGAAATCTGGGAATTGAGGGGGGACTTAGCATTTACGAACAAGAGCACGTCAAAAAAATGTTCACCTTTTCACCTTCCAACATGGACTTTGTCAGTAATCTTGATGGTAGGAATGCCAAAATTTTGCTTTTAACTTGCCAGCATGCATTTGTCGGTAAATGATGGCGGAAACTACAAAATTTTTGGCTTTTAACTTTCCAACAAGAATTTTGTTGGTAAAAAAAGAAGAAAAAAGAAAAAAAGAAAGGCAGGATCACAAAATTTTTACATTTTTTTTTGCTTTTGTCAAAACTTTTATTTTACTTATGTGTATCACATCGGTAAAAAAAATACCAACAAATAGCACATAGGTAAAATGCTCTATATATTCCCACAACGACACAAGCCGCTTATTTATTTTCTTTCCTTCCTTCTTCTTTTTCTCCTTTCTTCTCCTCCCTTATATGTCTCTCCTTCTTCCTCTTCCATTAAAATGCTGCTGAATTTTATCATGTTTATTAATTACATTATATTCATGTTATTTTTAGTTTATATCTTCTCAATCTCTTCTCTTTTTCTTTTCCATTCTTTCTCCCTAGCTAATTGATTAAACATGAATTTGAGTTATTAATCAATTTATTTACACTTCTAATTTTTTTTTAATATTGTTGTTTTGTAGGAAATATTGTTGGGAGATAATTGTTGGATAATAAATTATTTATGTAAACTAAAATTTAATTTCAATTATATTTTTATTATTATTATTTGGTTGAAATTATATATAAATATTAAATTAATTTATATTTTATCTTTTTTAAGAAATGGTGCTCTATAAATATCAATTCTATAATTGAGGTAATTTTTAATTTTTTTATTATGCTGTTCAATTATATTTTAAATTTATCGTATCATTCTTATTTTTAAGTTATGCTTTAATTATTAGTTTTAGCAAATAAATTCAATAATTTTCTGTCTTTATTGTTAAATTTTAATATTAGATTTATTTTTTACAATATTAACAATTATAAATTAAGTAATATTTAACAATAAATAGATTGAATTGAATAAAAAATGTATATTGATTTCAATATTTATTCAACAAACTATATTTTTTTTCCAGAAGATCTCCATACCAATGTTATTCTCATCGGTAACTGGATGTAAACTTTTTTTAACAAATTCGAAAGCCAACTTTTCGACTACTACTTTGTTAGTAAAGAATGAGGAATAATAAAGAATGAGGAATATTATAAGAATATATCTAGTACCGACGTTAGGGTCATCAGTAACTACATCCTTTTTTAGACATTCTTCTCGTCGGTAATTTACTAATGTGACTTACTAGAAAATAGCTTGGCCGTAATAATCTAGCAATAGAGTTAGAGACATGCTTTTCGTTTCTAATTTGTATCAATTTATCGACATGATTTACCTAAAACGAGCTCTAGCAGTATGACTTAGACACCTAGTTACAGACATGCCTTTCGACAATAATATGGAGCAATTTATCGACGTAACTTTAAGTCATGTCGTGAACGGATTACTGAGGGGACTTCCACCAACAAGTATATTACTAACGTAATTCAAGTTAAAAAGAGTTTTTGCTGATGATATTTCCGTTGGTTTCTGATGTAGTTTGTTGTCGGTGATGCCATGCATTCTAGTAGTGATCTCTTGGATAATGTTGCCAAAGTCATGAGTGAGTGGCTCCTCATAATTGTCAACACCAACGCCACCAGCCTCAATGCCACCCTCATTTGAAGCACCAACCCTACCTAAATTATCCTCATGTTGAATAAATAGATCAACCTCACCCTCATTCTTTAATACTGTACATATGTATTTAATGCTTTCATCTCCGGCAAGCGATTTTAATGAACCCATCTCAGCTGTAGGTGTCTTGTAAGATATTTGTTTAATCATAACATCCTCAAAATCAAAATTAACTACAAACTCTTAAATATCAAATAAATTCAATCTATTCCCGTCCACAGGCTTACTTTTCAACAAACCATTAACATACTGTAGAGATGGTCCATTGACAAAATTACCCTCGTGATTGAAATTTAGTATCCCATAGAATTCTTCCATAAATTTTTGAATGATAAAAAACACAGCAACCAACATTTAGCCAAAAAAAAAACCAACAACAACAACAACAAAACACATGTGGGCAATGGCAAAAGGCTGAAAAATGTACCAAAACCAAATAAACAACTTTGCTTGATATCTCCCATCTCAGTTTACCCCAAAAAAAAAATAATAAAATAAAAAAATGGCGACAAGACAAATTCGTTTTTCCTTATGAAATCCTGACCCTTTTTTGAAAATAGGAAATTGAGAAATCTAAACTTTTTTAGAATTGAAACGAACTAAAAATGTATGAAAAGGAATTAAAGACTTACACCACTACGTCCTTTAGTGATCTTAAGTGATTTCAATGCATACATGACAAATTGTTAAACCTTCCAAAGACTTTTTTTACAATGTAACTAAAGCTTAAGTTTTGCAAAGACACTCAATTTTTTCTTTAATAAGAGTATTTCTTTTTTAGGAGATTTTATGGAGTATTTATTAATTCAATATATATTATAATATTATTAATTATTTGTTCAATTAAAAAAAGGAAAGAGTATTCTAAAAAAAGAGGGGAAAGAGCAAGTTTTTGCTGCTGGTTTTGTCCAGCATGTGAAGTGATTGCCATGTCATTAAAAAAATGGGCCCATGATTGTCCAATTAGCAAGAGGTTATCGGAATGCAAGGGAAGTGATGGAAAGTTAACAGTGACACGGAAGGGGATAGATGGAATTGTGACGTAGTCCAATCGCACTCACACTTCTATCTTTATGTGTGGCTCAGGGGTCACAACCTCCCTTATTTAAACACTTGATATCTTCATCAAACCTATATCAAGCCTAATTACAATTACAACAAGACCTACTTGCTTATAAGTATATGATCCACTTCAATGGGTGTGAGGTTTGCCTTATCACCAACCATGATGATCAAAATAAGCCCACACCTGCAGGAGGTTATGCTTTGATATCAATTGAAATGACTTGGGTCAAAGCATGTTACTAATCTAAAAAATTTTTAAGTCAAGGTTTATGAACTCTTAAGAACTCAATCTCAACTTGTTTGTAACGGACGGTTACGACAATTATATAAGAATTGCACTCACACTTCTATATAGATGTGGAATTTGGGGTGTTAAAAAAAAAAAAATTGAACTGAATTATATGAAAAAGAATTGGTTTTTTCTATGAACAATATGATAAAATTATTTTATATTCATGGAGAGGAAAACTTTTTAATTATGACTCTAGAAAATTAAGGTGAATTTATAACTTATTGATGTGATGTAGATACAAATGCAACTAGCTAAAAATTATTTTGTCAATTAATTCAATAATTGAGTTTTATATTATTTTTTATTCATAAGATTTTATTGTTACATGACTTCAAGTCTGGAGTTATATATGCCAACATAATTTCTTTTAAGTGATTTTACGACTAATAAATTAGGAGTTACTAGAAATTAAGTAGTTTGTATAAATTTTAATTTCTGGTAACTTAGTTGGAGTAATAACTTGAAGTTTTTGAGTTGTATAAATACCAATTTTAATTTAGCTAGCCAATGGGCTCAAGCTATCTATTATCTAAACCAAGAAAATTCACCATCCCTTAAATCATGACAAACTTTAAAGTTTTCTCAACTTTGTTAGTTCTCATTATGGCAAGTGAAGTAGTCATGGCTACTAAAGACGTTGAGAATTGCCTTATCAAGAACCTTGGTTGTGAAAGTAAGATGCATATAAAATGTGTGAAGCAGGTGTTTTCAAGCATATTTAAAGTTGGAACTGTCACAGATGGTTGTTGTTACGAGCTTGCAAAGTTAGGTCCACTTTGCCATTTTGCATTGGCTGATAAAACTCTTCAAACTGAATTTAAAACTTCCAAAGCATTTCAAATTTTGGTTAAAAGTACACGTGTGGAGCAAGTGCCTTGCACTTTCGTCATAGTATGGCTAAGAACTAATTTAAGTGCTAACTCCTCCACCTGCATAAGGCTAGTTTAGTTCATGTTAAAGAAAAG